TATTCTATTCTATTCTATTCTATTCTATTCTATTCTATTCTATTCTATTCTATTCTATATCACCAATAGTGATGTGCCGATCACTGCTGAAATATCAATACCACCGATACCTTTATGCTCTGGAATTGATTCTAAAATCAAAATATCTTCACTCMTTTTAGGTAATACAGTATAAGTATATCATTAACAAGAACACAGTGGAAAGTAACTAATCTACTGAGATCTTGTCTAAATCATACACTACCTTTTTTAGATTTACCAGACACATTAGGTGTATTTACACAGAGTATAAGTATCCGATCAGTATTGCCAATACCAGCCTGATTTTACTCAGTCTCAGAATCGCTGGTATTGAACACTAACCTCCAACGCAAACATAAAACATCACATCACTAGAAGATTTYGCAACTCAAGGTTTAATAATTTAATCAATAGGATGTCTAGATTTTGCACAGTGGCTGTAAGTTTGAGGCTTAAATTCTAGTGTTTCTGTCTGATGAAGAGACTCGCAGAACATTACTAATGTTCAGCTTTTTTAGTGCAGCTGAAATCTCAACACACATTAATGATTAATGTGTGTTGAGATTTCAGCTGCACTAAAACTCTTTGAAATGTCTCTGTTTATAGTTATTTCAGGTGTAATAGTTGGGTCACGAGTCCGGTCAGCGAGTGACTAAAGCAAGTAGGAGTCAAGAGTTGCAGCTTAATATTATCTAAAAAAAAAAAAAGTCAAGATTGGAGTCGCAAACGCTGAACCACAAACGTGAACTTTCTGTTTTTGTCAGCCTTTTAAACCATTTAGACCTCTTTCACATTTCATTTACCGTCGCACAGCAACACACACACACACAAAAACTTATTCTCACAGAAGCTGAGAGGAGCTTTTAATGCACGGCGTTCCATTAACCTCCGCCCATGCAGACACACAGACCAGCTAGACGAGTTGGAGATTAAGAGCTGCAGCTGCTGTCCTGTTCCTCGCTGTGGGTGAGGCCGCACTGAAATTGCTGGCAGGTTCGCCTTACACACAAACACACTTTTTTTTCCTTACTGAGCTGCTTGGTAGATAACAATTACACCGGCAGAATGCTTAAATAGTAATTTACTCCACCTGAAACCTGAAATTTAGTTTTTTTTCCTGTGTGAAGTATCTGCCGCTCTCTCATATTATCAGACTCGTTAAACATAATGGTTCAGTATAGGAGTTTATGAAAATGACGTATAAGGAATTAGCTTGTGTGCTCGGAAAACATTTTTAAAATACACAAGATTGGAACGTATTTGCTGGGATTGCATCAATCTGAAAACCTTAAATAGATAACTTTTTTTTAAAAGTGGGGTTCTATCTAGAGTTACTTGTTACTTTAATAATTCTTATGGTCAGTTTTGCAGTTTGTTTTATTGTTTTGCAATTTACTGTAGTTAGGTTTTA